GGTCAGTGCGTGCAGATCAGGCAGAAGCTGTCAGCATGCAGCTCTACTGAGCGTCTGGAAGGAGGACAACCATGGGGAGCAAAAAACAGGCTCTGCTCAGGAGCTGACAGGAGATGCCTGGCATTGGGGGTTTGCAGTCTTCCAGGGAGGAAAACCACTGGCCAGCAGACTTGACTGAAGCACATCCTGGACTGCTGCCATTGAGTTTTGGTTTGGTGCAAAGCACAGGGGAATTTCTGGGGGACCTGGGAGAAAAGTGGAGGTTGGCCTAATATTTTAAAAGGGGAAACAGGACGACGTGGGTAATTACAAGTCTGTCAGCCTGACATTGATCCCAGGCAAAATAATGGAACGGCTGATATGGAATGCAATGAATAAAGAATCAGAAAGGGTGATATAATTAATGCCAATCAACAGGGATTTATGGAAAATAGATCCTGTCAAACCAACCTGACGTCTTTCTTCCTGTTGTTTTTTTTTTTTTTTTTCTTTAAAACCAGGATTACAAGTTTCTCTGGCGAGGTATTGGGGTTTGCTGAGGACACAGAGAACAACAACAGATTACCTGGGTGCTGTGTGATGTTTTCTCACAAAAGCAGGAAAACCCAAACTACCATGTGAGGTGGTTTAAGATGACATTTAGGAGGTCATGGGCTTGGCTGGCCAAGCATTGGGCACAAACTGCCATTGCAGGGCTCTGCAGGGGATTCTTCTCCCCAGCCAGTCCCACCACCCATGAGGAGGATACACTGGGCTGTCTGCATCCCAGCAGTGCTCATTGTGAGGAGGGAGGTCCTGCTGGGAAGTCTGTGATGGAGCTGGGAGGGGACATCGGGCATAATTTTCAGAATGGAGAGTGCTGGGCACCAAACTGTCGTGGAGAGGACTAAAACACCAGTGTAAAGGGTTAACACGAACAAGAGTTATGTTTCCTCTTTTGGTGCTCTCTGGAGTTGCTTCTCCAGGGTCCATGTCTTGTGTTGGATGATGTAAAATCTGGGGAGGGACTCTGGAGGACACAGCACAGAGTGAGGGACCTTCTCTTGGTAAAAGCACATCCTGGCTTCATGCCTCTGGTGAGATGGGAGCCTGCACAGCACAGCCAACACGGAGGAGCAAGAGGCTGCAGAGGCTGCATGGCCCTGTTTGCCTCCTGGCCCCTCTATCTGGGAAACCGTATGATCCGTCCACCTCTGTGCTGTGTGCTGGGGGGGGGCCCTGTTTGCAGGCGCTGTCTCACAGTGGTAGCTCATGCAGTAGTATTCAAGCCTCCAAACCCTTCCTGGCATCTCTTTTGATCCAGGTGTAATCGCATCAGACTCGGTTCTGCCCCGTCCTTCTATGAAATGCTGAGTTAAACCCACTCCAGAGATGAGACCCGTCCCCCATGGCTTGCTGTGGCTTTGCCAGCCCTGTAACCTCTGCAGATGCTGCCGGTGGGGATCCTGTGTTACATGGCAGGTTTCCTTATAGAGAGGTGTGACTGGCTTCACGTCAAGTGCAAATCACCGTGGAACCCACAGGAAACACCTGGATTCCAGTGGTTTCCCCCAGATAACACCTTGGTTGTGGCCCTCTGCCCCTGGCCTTTGAGCCCCGTGTGGTGACTGGGGTGACAGCCTGTTGCAGCTCGCCGGTGGCAGGGCACAAAGGCTACACCCCATCCCAGACACCCTCTTGTCCCAGGGAGCTCAGTGACCAAAGAGGGGCCCCTCTGCTTCCCTCTGGCCAGGCAGAGGAGTCCCCTGCAGCACCCCTCCTCCAGCCCCACAGAGACAGACCCCACGCTCCCCACTCCCTGTGAGCTCGTTGGCTCTGAAGTAGCTCCTGACGCACGACACACACCAGAGCAGAGCTGTGCCAGGTCCCCGAGTGCCCCGTGCCAGCACAGGGCAAACAACAGTGACCTCCCACACCCAGGCAGGCTCACTGCTGGGTCAGAGGCTGAAACCCTCCCTTTCTGCTGAGCCACAGCAATTAAATTCTGCATTAATCGAATTCTCTGATAGGAGAGTCTTTAGTAGTTGAAATCCCTTCTCCCCTTCATCGGTTTGTCCAGGACTGACATATAGGGACCAGCTTACAGGGATGTGCCAGGCCTCTGGGAGCACCTCTGAGACATGACCGCCCTGCCTTGGTAATGACTTTTTCTCCACGTTACCACCAGACCATCAGCGGGCAAGAACTGGGTGTCTCATGGGGACAATGTTGGATCCACAAGAGTGGACAGATGCTCCACCTGCAACCCCAGTGAGCAGAGGTGGCTGAACTGGTGACACTGGGGTGCGTGGCCACAGGTGCAGTATGACGGAGGCGTATCGTTCAGGCACTGCATGGTGTGCACAGAGTCCTGCAAACAGCCGCCAGCAGCCCCTTTCCCCAGGCACCATATGGGCACCATGGAGAGATGGGGATATTCTGAAATAGGTTTTGGAGGCTGCCTCAGTTTCCCCACCTCTGTTTTAGCTGTTTATTGGGGAAGAAGTTGAACTCAAGTCCCCTCCAAGTGGCCTGGGACGAGTCCTGCCCTCCCTGCAGAGCCCAAAGAGAAGCCATCCAAAACCCTCCCAGAGGAGAGGCAGGATGAGAAGAGATTGACTGGCTGCATCGCTGGCGTGGGCAAAGGGGTTTCAGAGGGCACCTGTCCCCTCAACCCCTTCGGTCCTTGACAGCAGGGCAATATTCAGCTTTCTGTGCCTGAGAGCCTCTCCGAGAGGTTTCAGCTTCTCCAGCCTGCTCTGATGAATGCTGGGGAGCCCCTTGGGTGGCCAAGTCCACTTTTCAGGGCTGACTGAGGGGTCATAGAGCAGACATGATCCCTGTACCTGAGCTCTGAACCACAGAGGTGTTTTCCCAACCCACTCTGCCCCAAGACCCTAAATCATCACCTAAAATAGGAGCCATGGCCTCCAGTTAGTTCAGAATTTTTCCCAGGGTAGGAAATATATTAACCCACAAGAAGAGGAAGTTTCAGTCCAAACAGCTCCAACACCTGCTGAAAAAGGGGATTTCCAGGCCAGTGGCTGGGGGCTGCAATGAGGGACCCTCACTGGGAGCAAAGGGCAGTGGGTGCAGGGCATGAGCACCTCCATGAGCTGGACAATGTCACCCCCCACTGCACCGGGCAGCAGTGACACTGCGGCAGGCTGTCAGTCTCAGGAAATATTGGTAAAAGTCAGTAAATATATGTATTTATAGACTGCCCAGGATGATGTCCAGATGTCTGTGTCCCAGTGGGATGGCACAGACACCTCCACAGCCCAACCATCCCCATGCTGGGTGCAAGCTCAGTTTCACCAAACATCCAATCGTCTCCTTGGTGGCTCTCCCCAGGTCCCCAGAGCTTCACTGCTCTGGCACTGTCCCTCCTGTCTCTACCGAGACACACATAAGCGGTCCTGCCTTGTAATATTTAAAACAATTTTATTCATGAAAATATGCTGTACAATGCACTATACACAGTTCTTTACATTGCCACATACACAAACTCTAATAGCACGATCAAGAAAGTTACCATTGCCTACAATAGATGCGTGGTGAGAGATGACGCCTGTCAGAGACCCTCCCCCCCAGTCTGTACAGTTATAAGTATGAGGGAAAGGACGGACTGAAAACCGCCGTATGAAGCAAATTGGTGGGGCCCCTTTGGCATCCCCTCGATGCCGCCTCCTCGCTCCGGGCCAGGCTGGGTCTGGGCAGGAGCAGGGCTGGGAGCAGAGGATGCTCCCTGTCCCCAGAGTCTGTCCTGTGGGGCGGGGGGGCCAGGAGGGAGAGGGGGTGATGGAGCAGGGAGACTGAAGCCGAGCTAGGTGGGACATGAGGTGGCCTGTGCTCAGGGAGTTGCTTCCATAGAAGGAACCCAGAGCCTTGGCCACCACCAGACAGTGAGATAAAGCCGTGGTTTCCCCTTCCCTGCGCTCACAGCAGCACCAGCAGTGGGGTGGTGGGAGCCACAGAGGGCACGGCCGCACCGGCGACCCCCAGGACCTGCCTGTGCCACGGGCTCAAAGCACGGCCCCGACACCCCCGTGCCATCACCACCACCCCACCGGGGCACCCCCGGGTCCACGGGCCCTTCTGGAGCAAGCCCAAGGTGAGCAGTAGCACGTGGGGCTCCTCTGTCACACTTTGCCACAGACACGTGGGTCAGGAGAGGAGCAGGGGGTGCCCACCCATGGGTCCCACGCTGCCCCGGCTTTGAGCAGCCACGCTTCCCCGTGGCTCGGGGGACCCCAGCGCCTGCACCATGGTGGAGAAGGTGGTGCTGGAGCGAGAAGGGAAGAGCTGGGCTGGGAAAATGTGCTGGTTCCCTGGACTTGCTGTAACCCAGGAGTAGGGGACTTAGAGAGAGCCTGTGGGGCCCAGGAGGAAGACGGGCTGTGCAGAGACCCCATGGGACAGAGCAGCAGCTCCCAACGCCTCTCCTCCCAGCCCCCCATCTCCTCTGGACCAGCTGCTCCAGCTGCCCACCTGCGTGGCTGCCCCTGCTCAAAAACCCGGCAGCGGGGAGCCCTCATCCCAGCTGTGCAGAATGGAAGTGGGACCCTGGCCCACTCCTGCCCCACAAAGCAGTGGGGCTGGTTTGGGCTCCTGACGCACAGCAGGACCACGTGTGAGTCGTGGTCCCCACCCCCACGGAGCACTGGCCCTCGGTAGATGGGTGCACCAGGGCTGACCCCTCTAGCTGACAGCCCCCCAGACCAGGTCTCCTGGCATCCTGGGGGTGGGGAGTGAGCCCGCTAGGACAGGCATGCTGCTGGCTGCGGTCACTCCTGAAACCAGGAGCAACTCCCCAGGAGCCCCCCAGCCCCGGCTGCGAGCCCTGTGGCACCTCCCTGAGCTCTGCACACAGGGGATGCAGCGAGGGTCCCCCAGACTTGGGGCAGGGTGGGCCCCACGCTGCCTCCAGAGACCTGGCCATGACATCCCTCCCCTCCTCACATGCAGACCCCTCCCTTCTCAAGGATGACCCACATCACAGCCCCCCAGCTTACACCCCATCACCCAACACCCAAAGCCATGGCCAAGCGTTGCCCATGTTCTCTGTCCTCCTCTCCCTAAGCTTAACCCTTTTTTTCCTTCCAATGCAAAAATTCAATGGCAAAAGAGTGCAATGAAATCCCACTCTGTGAGCTCCCTCTGAGCCTCTGGCACGGGGGACCCAGGCCAGCAGCACGTCACTCCCAGCAGGGCCACCCTGTGCAGGGCTGTGCACCACATCCAGGAACGTGCCCACGCCTGCTCCAGGCAGGGTCCCGCAGCTTCCCCACGAGCAGGCATGACCGTGGCACCCCCAGCCACTGGTGGGCGCATGGGCTGCCAAGATGCTGTTCCCAGGGCTGCAGATTGCGCAGCCTTCCCTCCATCACCAAGCCCATAAGAAAGCCTGCCTGGAGCCGAGCAAGGAGACCCGCACTGGAGGTGGCCTGGGTGGGCGGGCTTGGCAGAGCTCACATCTCCACCAGGATTTAGGGTGACGAGGCCCCCCTTGCCCTGGGGCAGGGTCCTCACTCTTGACACTTCTACTCAGAGGACTTGTTTCCTGAGGTGGCTCAGAGAAAAGGGAACCTTTCCAGAGAGGGATGCCCACGCAGGGTGTCCTATGCCACCAGCCATCACTGCTCTGTCACCCAGCCCAAGGACAAATCAAACTGTTACCGTCACAGGGGGGCACTGGGACCATCTGGAAAGGCTTTCCCTTCCTGTTCCCCCCACAACCTGCCTGGCTCCGGTTGCCTCTCCCGCCAGCCTGCCCTGCGTCCTCCGGAGGATGCTCATGGAAGGACCCAGCAGATCGGGCACACATGTGGGCTGGGGGCTGGGGGCCCTACCCCATCTCAATATTTGACCCTATGGTTTGTGTTTTGTGTTCAACCTCAAGCTCAGACCAATGGCTCTAGCCCATCTTAACAAACAAAGGCAGAAGAGAAAGGAAAAAAAAAAGTTAGTCTCAATGTTCCCCTTGTGGCTTCTCGGTGGCAAGCCCCCACCCTTGGACGGGTGTCACCCAGGCACCCAGCTCTGGTTCGTGGGCTGTGGACCCCCGGGCAGCGCGGGCACGTTGAGCCCGTTCTGCGGCGGGAGAGCTGAGTCGAAGTTGAAGTCCATCTCGTCGCTGTCCATAAAGTCATTCAGGATGATCGACTCCACGTCGCACTCCAGGCTCCCGTTGAACATGTCCAGGTCCAGGTCTGCTGGGAACCTGTCTTGGCCCAACACAGGGGGGTGGACAGCCCCCGGGTAGGGGCCCTGCAGCGAATCCAGCAAGCTCATGTGTGCCCCTTGGTTATTAGCGTAGGAATGCAGATGCCCGTGGTGCGGCATGGCTGTCATGCTGCACGTGTCACTGGGCAAGCTCATAAGGCTGACAGGATTAGCTAAGGCACTGGTGTTGACCGCAGGGTGGTGACCGGCTGGTGACGGGTGGTACAAAGCGTTGCTCTTCATGAGAGAGCCCGAGTGGGACGGGTAAGAGGACAAACCCTGCTCCCCGCTCCCGCAGAGCAGCGGGTTGTGTCTGTGGCCACGGGCCGGCACCATGGGGCTGGCCTGCGGCAGGGGCAGGTCCCCTGGGACCATGCTCTCCTTGTGCGCGTAGGAGATGGAGGAGAGCAGGTCCTGCAGCGAGGCGTTCCTGTAGGAGCTGACGGGTGAGAAGGTGGCTTGCTTGTTCTCCTGGATGGTCTGCATGGGCAGGCGGCGCATGAGGCTCATGGCTGGCTGGCTGTAGATAGTCCCGCAGTAGGTGTTGGTGGCAGCCCCCATGGTGGAGCACTTGGAGTTGAAGGTGAAACTGGAGCTCCGCTGCCGCAGGGCGGCCGGGGGGAGCTGCTGCGAAGGGCTCATGGTGTAACCGTCCTGCAGGTCCTCCAGCATGCTCTCCCCGAGGCTCTCGTTCAGGCTGATGGTGCCAGTCAGGTCGGTCAGGCGGGGCAGCTCCACAGAACACCGGGCGTTGAGGGAAGGAGACATGGTGCTGGAGGGGCTGGGGTACATCAGTGGAGAGGAGGGGGTACCGTCATCCTCCTCCAGCTCGTCCGGCTCATGGTTGGACATGATGGGCGAGAGGCGCCCGCTCAAGGTGCTGGCCGTGGAGTTGGCCCGCGTCCTGAAGTCTGCCCAAGCGTCATACTCATCGCTAGCGTGGGACGCGGGGCTCTCCGACCACTTGGCTTGCTGGGAGGAAGGGCTGTCCTCCCCGCGCTCCTGCGTCACCTGCAGCTGCTTCTTCTTGCTGGCCTTCCCCTTGATGCGCAGGAACTTGCTGTTGTTGTCCATCGAGACCGCCCGCCGGCGGGGCGTCTTCCCTGTCTTGCCGCCCTCAGGGTTCAGCATCCACCAGGAGCTCTTGCCGGTGCCCTCGTTCTGCACGCGGATGAAGCGGGTGTGCAGGGAGAGGTTGTGCCGGATGGAGTTCTGTGGAGACAGCAACGACAGAGGGGGTGGTCAGCAGCGGCTCCAGCACCCCAGGTGGGAGGGGGATGCCCGTGGGGCTAGGGGGGTACACGGGGGACCATGGGGGACCTGGGTTCCATCCTCTGGGACACCACGGCTGCCTGAGCCAGAGGAGTGAGGGCTCAGAGCACTCAGCTGGCGGGTCCATCCCACAGCACTGCCGGGCATTTCACCACCAGGAGCCCATGGGTTGTGGCCCTTTGTTGCATCAATCGGGCTGTCTACTATTAGTGCAGTTATTGTCATGACAGGTGTGTGGTGGGGTTGTCCCAGGACCTGCACCAGCCCTGTACCAGGCAGGGCCAGATCTCAAGGGATTCTTCTTCGCTGGCAGGAGCCTGGGGAGGGACAAAGTGAGGAGGCAACAAAAGCAGGGGTAGAGTCAGGCTCTTGACAATGTCCGTGCTGAGGTCCAGGTCTTCTCCACCCCTCCCAACCCTGGCCACCCACACTCCAAGCAGAGCCCACTGGGATGCTCCCAGCACAGCCTTGCCCATGTGCATGCACCTCTGCAGAGGTCCCAGCCCACTCTCCCCACTGCCAGGCACCCAACCAGCTCCAAGGGCAGAGGGACCCCCATTGTCCACACACTGCGGGGCTTCAACCCCCTGGAGCTGGCTCCAAACCACCCTCCCTGCCCGGCATCCCTTTGCAATGCGCTCCTCTCCTCCCTCATCACCGGGAAGGGAGAAGCAGGCGTTGCGCAGAGTGAATCGGCCCCACCGCAGCCCAAAGCAATGTGTCAGCAACAGGTAAGCAAGATCTTGTCCCCAAAATGCCTGTCAGCCCCTGTGAGCAGGGGCGGGGGCCACAGGCAGAGAGGGGTTCTCTGCCTGTCTGCAGGCTGGGTCCCATGGCAGGGACAGGAGGCACCAAGAGGCTCGGGCACCACAGCACAGTGGGGGTTTGCAAACCCAGCTACAATCCCCACTGCCCAGACAAGGGCTGCTTGGGGACTGCTTTCTCCCCAGACACTTCTGGCTCCCTGCATCCCCATGCAGCATCTCGAGGGGATTTCCTAGTGAGAGCAATGCTCCAGCCCTCTTGGCCTTCTCCTGCCACTGGCTGGAGCTGGGATGCCCTTGAAGAAGGCTGGAGGAAGGGAGCCTGCACCAGGGACCATATCCCACCACCAGCATCCCCTGCTGCCACTGCCCCACGGGGTGACAGGCTGGGATGACCCTGGGGAGAGGTTTTCAAAGCTCCAGCCTGGGGAAGAGGGGGTGAGAACATCTGCTCTTGCTGCTGATCTTCTGCAGCTCATGGGGTGCTACTCCAGCTCCCTGCATTCTGGTTTCCCCAGGGTCCAGAGGGGAAAGAAAAAGACTCAGAGCCCAGGGAAGAGCACCAGTCCATGGTGTCGACACCCTTGCTCCAGAAGGGCCCGTGGACCCGGGGCCCAGCAGGCAGCTTCTCCTGCCCCTGCCAAGCTGCAGGAGGGGCAGCGGGATGAGAGGGGGGAGAAACCAAGGTGCTGGGGAGAAAGTTTGGTGCTGATGCCGGTGTACAGTGGAATACTAATGAAGAGGCGAGTGAGCTCCAGCCTCATCCATCATATTATGTAATGGCTTACTTCTCTGCACTTCATTTATTTGGAGATTGCTCCCAGGCTGGCTCCTCGCCAGCAGCCACCAAATCCAAGTCTACAGAAATCAATCTCGCACTGACTGATTAAGCCGTGTTTAGAACTAATTGCTCCTTCGTGTGTGGGGAGAATAAATTACGGGCTTTAATTTCACATCTTTAAAATGCAACTGCAGGTATGGGCTAGCCGTTAACCCCTTCCTGCACGGCCCCATGCACAGCTGGGGAGGGGGCAGGCCGTGGCTGGCACGGATCAGGGAACAGGCTGGGACATGCGCTGCCCTCCATGGTGGTGGCTGCCCATCACCTTCAGCTGGAGCAAGCCCAAGCCCTGGGACATCCTGCCTGACAGGGAGAGCTCTCCCTGACCCCCCAAACACCTCTCCCCTGAGCCACAGGATGACCCAAGCTCCCCTCTGTGTGACTTGAGCCACAGTGCAAGAGGCAGGGGACAGAGCACGTGGCCATCATGTTTGCAAGAGCCAGAGCCACCAGCCAGCTCAGCCCCGTGGTGCCACCTTGCACCCACACATCAGCCGGGGACACCCGAACAGGTCTTGCTGGGGTGATGCCCAGCTGCTGCTGAGCCCCCTCATAGGACTGGGACCCCTTATATATAGCTCTTCTCCCTTGCTGCCAGCGCTGCCCGGGTCTGCTCAGCCCAGGAGGCAGAAGATGCTGCAGCCCTCTGCAGCTGGGACCGAGCTGTCATGCAGAGCACAGAGAGAGAAGCCAGTGTTTGGGGGGGTTTGGGAAAGCCACAGCTGGACGGGGGTGACATTCAGCACAGTACTAGCCTCCTCCTCTTCTACTGCCTCCCTCCCACTTTGCAGCTCCAGCGCAGGGCACCCTGGCACCCAGCATCCCCCAGGGACCCAGGGCCAGGCTGGTGTCGGGCAGGGGACAGGGCTGGTGGGGGGAGGCTGGCCGGGGTCAGGCTGCACGAGGGAGAAGAGGGGAGGGGAGGGGAGGAGAGGCTGCTGCCTCTTCTGTAGTGGAGCTTCATTAAGAGCCAAAAGACAGCGGCAATTAAGTGCAAGGCGCCTCGAGCCCAGCTCTCTCCTCATTAGCACCCCGACGTGCTCGGCTGGCCGTGGCTCGGGGTGCACGGCGCAGGGCAAGTGGGCTGAACGGGGGTGGGCCAGGAGCTTATTAACACCACGCAGGCAGGGACCTGCTTCACCCACCACCACGACCCCCGGCAGCTCCCAAGCAGCCCCCCAGCACCTGGCATCCCCCAGCACCCAGCCCCGGGCTGGCAGGGACCACCGCGTGATCACATGGCCCGAAATGTGGGGCTCAGCTCCTCGCCAGCCCCTGGCAGCACGGTGATGTGCTGGGGACATCAGGGCTGGCAAAACCTCCCCGACAGCAGCTGCTTTGGCAGGGGTGTGCACCAGGGTCCGGCAGATTTTGGCAGGGTGTAGGGAAGCAGGCAAAGGCTGGTGCCAGCCCCAGGGTCCCCACAATGCCTCCGAAACTGCTCTGCCCTGCAACCCGAAGCCCTGCACCACTTCTCGCACCTGAAGCTGGCCATGCCCTGCACCCTTGCTGTGTCTCCCTCCTCATCCCTGTCTGGCTCCATGGCACCTGCTCCTTGCCCACCCCACTCCAATAGCTCAGGCCCCTCCTCAAAGCAGAGAAACCCTCGCAGCATCCTGGCCCCACACGTCACCGCAGCCCTGCGGTACCCAAACGGCACAGAGCAAGGAGCATCAGTCCGCAGCACACATCCAGACCGTGCCAGGGGATGACATCCACCATTTCAGGCACCAGCCCTCACCTCTGTAGCTCTGCAAAGGGGATGCTCTGGGTAGTGGAGGTGAGGGCTGGAGGTGGCACCAGGGTTGCCAGATGTTGCAGGTGGACCCAAGCCCTGCTTAGCGCTGGTTTACGCCAAGGGAGGATGAGGCTGGAGCCCGTGCCAGCCCCTGGCCACCAGCTGCTGGAGGCTTTGCCAACCTGGAAGACCCCAGTGCCATCCCGGTGCCCATCTGCCGGGGCCTGGCCCAGACAGTCCCTGCTGCAGAGCCTGGCACAGGCATGGGGGGCTGGTGGGAGCTGTGGGCAACCGTGGAGCCTTCTCACCCCCCACAAGAGCCCTTCTCCACGGAGCCTCATTGTCAGGGGAACAGCCAGTGTGAAATCGGTCTGATTAGCAATTAGTCCCATTGTAAAAGGATTAGCCGGACCCTATTGTTTGGATGAGTGACTTGACTATCAATTTGCATCTGGCAGCGATGCTGCTGCTGCTGCTGCTATAGGAGTTTCGCCCCACCATCCCCACCACCCCCTACCATCCCCCGTGTCCTTTTGACCAGCCAAACACTGCCTGGCCAGGCTGTGCCCAGCGCTGCTGGACCCCTAAGACAGGCCTTGATGCTGGGCACAAAAGTGCCCTTTGCAGGATACCCATCCCGGTGCTGATTCTTGCTGCCAGCAGCACATCCCAGGGGTCACTCCTCCAGCCTTGGGGTGCCCATGGGTCTCGGGGTGCTGGACATCCCCCTGCGTGCCCCAGGGAGAGTGCAGGGTGGGGAAACAAATGCAATTCAAGTGAGAGCCAGATTGCACAAGCCCTGGTCCTGGCCAGAGCTGGGGAGAGTAACTGAGGGAGCCCCCGTGACCTGCCCCTGTCCCTGCCACATCCCCTGCACTCCTCTGCTGTCCCCATCACTGTCCCTGGGCTGTCACCCCTCCCTGCTGTCCCCATGTCACCTGCTTTTTTTCTGAGCAAAACCAAACCCCAGCCTCCTCCCCACACATCCTACCCCTCCCAACAGCAGCCCAGCCCAGCCGTGCCCGCAGAGACCCCGTGTGCTCCCAGCGAGCCCCAGCCCCACAGCCAGGCTCTGTCGGGGTCTGTCTGTCTGTCCGGGCTGCTGTGGTTCATCCAGCTAATGAGCCCGTTACCTGGCAGAGATTCACACACTGGTTAACAGGAGGAAACAGCGACAGGGCCACTAACGAGTGCTCTGCCAGCTGCTCTCCAGCAGCACGAGAATGGCTCCGGGGGTTAATTGATGCTTATTTACTTCTCAAACATAAAAACTGCCAGTGTTGGAGGAAATATTGGAGGGGGCAGAGGCTGCTGACAGCCCTGAAGGTGCCTTATCCCAGGGGATGTCATGCAGGGGTGGCAGTGGCATGGGACAGTCACCGATGACACGCCCGAAGATGTATTAACCCAAGAAACAGCACCACTGCCCACGAGCACCAGCAGCTAAGTGCACGATGGCCATTGCTGTGGCCCCCTGGCACCATCCCCTGGGGCTGGGCAGCCCTACCCCCTGCCTCTGGTCCAGCCCACCAGCCCTGGCACCGATGAGCCGCATCCTGAACAGGGCCCGGCCCTGCCCGGTGAGCAGATGGCAGCT